GCGCCCCCCCCCCCCAGTCTATCATGAATGCGGCTGCCAGACTCATCCAACGTATTAACTGGTCAGTGTCCGCTGCCCCTCTCTGACAATCCCTTCACTGGCAGTTTGGGTGATCTCAAGATATCACCCAAACTGTACTCTCCACTCCTCCCAAGACCTTCTACTCTCAAGCTCCCTCACTACGTCCTTCCCATGTTCACCTCCAGGACTTCTCCAATCCACTGGAACTGCGAACTCCAATCTGTCCACTTATCTCCTTCTCTGTCTGCCTGTAGGCAATCCCCTCTTCAGGAAAGCCCATCTTGCCTCTTCGTAACAACTGAACTTTTACTTTCCCAATCAGCTCACCCCCCTCCCACAGTTATTTCTATTTAGATTGGAAGCTCCCACAAGCAGGGCCCTCCTAATCCCCTTTTGATTTGCATTGCAACTCTATTGTCTTCCCTTTATTTTGGAAAGTGAGGCACAAACTGCTGGTGCTATATAAATCCGGTATAGTGGTAGTAATAGTAATAATATATTATTAATAATAATGTCCTTTGACAAATGACAGCTCCCCAGGCTTACTGCACTGATTAAGAATGTTGCTACTGCCTAATTATAGGTTACAATATGTTAATTATATAGAAGACAATACACAGGTATGTACGCCATGGAGACGTCACAAGTCTTTGTCACATACCCGTAAAACCTCAAAACACCATACATTAAGGCAATGGGTAAAGTACAAAAGCAAGTAATGGACAGATCACAGAACGCATAAGTAACCCTGATAGCTAGTATAAATGACAAACTATGTGAAAAACACAGATGCAGTTTATACTGTAGGTGGATTACAAATGATATGTGTATGTCATAGGCCTAACATGTCTGCGCTGCGGGAGCCGGCTGCTGGGTGAAAAGGCTGAGTGCTGACAGAATAATAAAAAGGTTTTTGGGTGACACATTAAGGGACCTCCTATTTGTCAGGAGCTGATTAAAATACAGTTAGTGGGTCAAGCAGGCAGATGTTTGTTTTAGGCAATGGGTTTTCTGTACAGAGCTCTCCTGCACTGGACTGTGTTTGCTGCCTTGCTGAATAAATGTGCAGTACAAACCTACTTAGACTATTCCTGGATGTCCTGGTTTTGTCCATGGTTTACTGCTGCCGATTCTGGCCCATACCTTTAGTGTGCTAGTTTTAAGTAGAATAGATAGATAGATAGATAGATAGATAGATAGATAGATATATATATATATATATATATAGAGATAGATAGATAGGCTATAGAAATAAAACACACACACAGCCTAAAACTAGCAAAAAGAAAAAGTTGCACATGGGCAGGGCAATACAGAAAGCACTGAAAAGAAGGTCCTCAGAACACCTTCAAGCAAGACAGCAAAAGGAAGAAAACTGATCTGTTTATGTTCTCGGGTTTAAAACAAAAGGGTGTTGTTATCTCTATTTATAAACAGCAAGTTGTACATGCCCACATATAAAGATAGAGATATGTATTAGGGATGCACCGATACTAGTATTGGTGCTGATACCAGTATTTGTGCAAGTACTGATTGGCTGGGAAGCCTGTTTCCCGGCCAAGCACAATCAAGCCGGCCAGACAGCATGAGCATGGAGCCAGCTTCTCGTGCAATCAGATTGCCTGGAAAGACGGCTCCATGACAGCAGAAGCATCGGTATCGGTACTCAGTGTCGACGAGTACTGAAAGCAAAGTATCAGTACTCGAAAAACCGGTATCGGTGCATCCCATATACACACACACAACTATATAGGTGGCAATCAACTGCCCACATAAACATGTCCTATGGATGTTATGCCCAGCCCATAGATATTACCACACACAATCCATAGGTGATGTCATTCCTAGTCTATAGGCAAACACACACAGACTATAGGTGTTAGTGTTATATATATACACACACACACACACGGTTCATCTATGTCATTACCTGGTAGGGAGGCGGCGGCTCCTGGTCGCCATCGGTGCCATCCCCATAGCTCGCCCGGTCGGACTGCGATTCGTGCAGCAGAGAGATGTCATCCGAGGTGGGAGACTTCAGACAGTTCCCCATGTCGCTCCGCACTGAGGGAGGGGGGGACCCCGCGGCTCCTCTCCTGACACCCGGCTTCCTTGGTTCACCCGGAACCGCCCGGCTTCCTTGCTGCCGTACCGCGGCCGGTGCTGCTCCTCCTCCCCGGTGCCAGTCACCCTCTCTCTCCGCCGCGCTCCGCCAGCCCTCCGGCCGCCATTACTGAGCCCTGCGCTTACAGACACGGGGTGACGTCACCGCCAGCCGGCAGACCACGCCCCTGAGTTTGTGTCTGGGAGGAGGACGGTCACGTGTCGCGACACACCCTTTCCCCGCTGGAAGCTTCTGTCCCGAGCCAGGCACTGTGATGACGTCAGCGCCGGGCTCTGCGCTCCCAAATTCATCCAGGAGAGTGTGGGCCCAGCTCCGCCCAGCTGCTATTGCCACTGTGAAGGGGTCTCACTCCTCTTGCGGGATTTCTTTTTACCTTTGTACACAATGCAGGAGGGGAAGGAAGACACCAAGGTGGAGGAGAGAAGGTGGAGGAGAGAAGATAGAGGAGGCTTAACCCTGATCTATGAAAAGCTTTTTTTTTGGGTGGACTGAGACATTAAGAGCCCATTCCCACTTCTCCGCTGCCAGCTGTTGTGTATATGTGCGCAGAATAAAGGAAGCCCTTTAATAACAAATGGGCTGCCAATGCGGCACACCATGGCATGCTGTAGTGCCTTATCATGCGTTTTGCTGCAATATTTGCATGAGAGCTGCATTGCCTTATTGCATACATGCTAACCCTGCAATGCGCCAACACATGTAATATACATTAACATGTAATGCTTCCACAACCTACAACATCACAAAAGTGTGACTAAGCCCCAAATTCAGCTATACGCTAAGCAAATTTCAGACAGTTCTTGATGAATGAAATGCACTAAGTGGTCTGCCCTGTCTGCTGCCTTAAGGTGCCCATACACTGCACGATTATCGTACGATAATCGTATGCGATCGGTTTTTCGTACGAGAATCGAGCAGTGTGAACGGAGACGTGCGACCGTTTCTACTGTACGGTCGCACGTCTTCTGTCGAACCAGCATGTTCGAAAACCAGCCGGGAATCGTACGATTCTCGGCTGGTTAGAACGGTGCTCGGAAGATAAATGCTGAACGGGCCGGTGTGCGCACGCGCACACTGCCCGTCAAGCATTGCGGTCATCGGAAGCCCGCCCCTCAGGGGGGTGGGCTTGCGATGATCGAGAGTGCGATCTGCCTGTCCAAGATAGGCAGATCGTATGTTTTTTTAATCCCTTTACAACCATCGCAAGACTAAAGTCTTGCGATGGTTGTAGAGTGTATGGCCACCTTTACACTGGACATCCTTCTATTGAAAAATCAGAGGAATCTTTCAGAAAATTGTCGGCCAAACAGCGCCTGAATCCAATTAGTTCTGTGATTGGAGGAGGAGAGATGATGTCACACCCCCTCCTCTCCTCCTCCAATCACAGAATGCCTTGCAAACTTTGAGAAAAATACATGGCATTTTGCGAATGGGAAGGAGTGAGGAGTGGGCAGGGATGAGACCGGAGCAATTCACTCCTCTAGTTGTGTGCAAGCAAAGTATAGTCTGTAAATTATCATTTTGTCCCAGACTTTGGCTATAAATTGGGGTTTTTAAACCATCCTGTTGCTTCCCCAAAAATAAAATATAGCTGAAATACGAGAAGCTGAATGCCTACCTCACTGGCAGGCGGCCAGTGGCATATCCAGGGTATGGCGCATATCCTGGGCGTCACATGAAGGCGTGGCACCACTCCGTGCGCCAGCGAAAGTTCACAAACCCATAGGGACAGCCGACTTTTTTCATACACGTCTTCCCTCCCGGCTTTTAGTAACCAGGGATGCTCAGGCTGGTGTCCCGCCAAGCTCCTGGCAACCAGTGACGTCACTGGTTGCCAGGAGCTGGACGGGACACTTACCAGAGCATCCCAGGTTGCTAAGAGCCAGGCGGGTAGATGTGTAAGGACCATACACATCACTGACGTCACAGATTGCCATGAGCTGGACCGGACACCTACCAGAGCATCCCAGGTTGCCAAGAGCCAGGCGGGTAGATGTGTAAGGACCATACACATCACTGACATCACAGGTTGGCAGCAGCTGGGCAGGACGCCAGGGGCGGAATTTGTTGTAGATATGCCTCTGCAGGTGGCCAATTGAAATCCTTGCTGTCTTCACCATCTCTGGTGCTGTCCAAGACAAGTCATTAAAGGACACAGCAGCCAGAAGGAGGAACCATGGCCTCCAGTGGGGAAGACACTATCTGTAACACCCAGAGCTAACGCCGGCCATACACACTCAGTCCCCATTCACACCTTCACGCATTGATGCACTTTCACAAAGCGCGCCAAAAATTTGTGCCATTACTTGTTAATTGCACCCCAAATGTGGCCGGGAAAATGCATTTTTCCCAAGCATTGATGCACGTTAAATGCGCCCAAATGCTTGATAAAAAAGACGCAGTATGCCTATTGCAGAATCTGCTACATGGGCTGCTTTCCCGCTTTTGTTGCACATTTAGCACCCATTGAAATCAATGGGCGACACAGAAAAAAACGCATTCCCGGTGTGAACATCGCCTTACTAGTTCATTTATAAAAGTTCCACCTGCATGGCACTAGCACCTCTATATGACACTGACAAGTCTAGGAAATCTTATAGTCATCAGCACCACCTAGGTTGGTTAGTGCTGTGCAAATGGCATCCGCATGGCTATACCAGCGGTAGGCAACCTCGGCACTCCAGCTGTAGTTAAACTACAAATCCCATTATGTCTCTGCCTCTGGGAGTCATGCCTGTGGCCGTCAGTGTCTTGCAATGCATCATGGGACTTGAAGTACCACAAGAGCTGGAGTGCCGAGGTTGCCTGCCCCTGGGCTATACAGACAGAGACAATCATCTATCCTAATCATTCCATGTACGATTACATGCGGATAGCCACGGACAAATGTGGCCGATGTAATTAACTCGAATGGGCACATCGTCTGTACAGACATACCTGGGATTCCTGCCACAAGAGTCCGTAGGATTTTGCTGCAGGAATCCCCAGTAGCACAGGAAATCCCCATGTGCAAGCGACATTAGAAGAGGTAAAAATGATAGCCCCTACATTGCTCTTATGATGGGTCCATTTAAAGTCTAACTGAATAATAAACCCGGAACATGAGCATCATTCATTTACCTGAGTCTGATCCTCCATGTCATACTCGAGCTCCTGTAGGAGAGGGTCTTCATCTGCATCTCCCAAAGTGCAACACCTGGAACAACAGGTCCCCATTTTGCCCCTCAAAAGTCTATACCCCGGGGGGTACTTGGGCACTCCTCGGTGCCTTCTTCTCTTTACAGGAAATGTCACAGAATGCTTCAGTGACTTTGTTTCTTCCTCCTCACTGATCTAGCAGTGTGGGAAATAGTTGAACGGAGAGAGGAGCTGGAATTTTGCTGTTATGACCACACGTTCTGTTGGAACATTTCAATGGCGTTCCGCAAATGAATGCTTCTCATTCTCTTTGATTTCTGAGACAAGGGATTGGAATATCCAAAGACTCGTCCCCGGAAGACCATTGCCTTTATCCTTATCTATCAAGATGGACTTTGGAAGACCAATTGCTGTGATGGAACAGTAGGCACTGGCTCTCATTGGGCATATTATACATGAGTAAATGCCTCATAGATAATGACAGTCTCAAAAAGTCACTGTCATCACATAAAGAGGAACTTAAAGGGGGACGTTACCCTTATCTTGAAAATAACAACAAAGGCAGCTTTAGAAATGTGTAGTAATGACAATCTACAAACACATACTTCTAGATCACTGCCGGCTTTGTATTCTTTGCATTCCTTATTTCTCTTTTCTTCCCCAGTCTTCTCACAGTGGCCATTTTAACTAAGTGCAAGTTACTAGATTTCCTATTACTTCCTGGAACTCTGGCACATGTGACTTGGACATGTGACCATGCACATCATCTCAGGGGAGGAAAATGCCTTTCCCTGAGATCTCGTGAGATTACAGATCTTCCCAGGATGCAACACTTGGGCACAATTACATCATTTGTGCCAAAGAGGACCAGGAAGTTGGAAAAAAAGAAATTGCAAGTAAAATAAAAATAAATGTTAGTTTAGCTAATGAATGTAATATGATTTCCTATTAGCATGCAGAGCTTTCCCTTCTGTCTGGGTTTTTTTTTTCTTAGTTTGATATCGGAGCCGCCGTCCGCTGTCAGAGTAAAAAAAAAAAAAGATAGCATGGAAATGATTAACTAGGCTGCTATTGGCTATTTCAATTTGCAATAGCCAATAGCAGGCTGGCTATTGCACCCGCCCCTTTGCTGCTGTCAATCAGCAGAGGTGGACCTGAAGTTCATAGCATTAAGAGAGGACACCTCCCTGAAATAAGAAGGGCACCTCCGTGAAATGAATTTTTTCAGGTTAGGATGACTGGTGTACCATCCAACCTTCTGAGATGGGATAGAGAGACACCTATCAGCACATTCCCTATTGTCACCAGTGTCACTTCCTCCCTTCACCTGTGTTAGTTAGAAATAGGTATTCGCTCAAGATGTTCCAGCACATATATTACCTAAAATACACTGACACTACATGTAATTTGAACAGCGACGGAGAACTAAGATTACATAATGCAAAATTTAGATCAGTCTTATCCTCAAGATTAACAGATCTTTCCAGAAAGAAGGAGGGATTCAATCTTCTGATGGCTATGCTGCTTGTATATTTGGACCAGCACTGGCCTTAGGTTACATTCGGCCTTCTGCATTCCTAGCATGGCACCCTTTATACTCTGACCACCAGTGTAATAAGGGGTTTGTAAAGGGGCATTGTCACTGAACAACAATGTAACTATGGCATTTTTGATTTCCATGAATGTAATGGGGGTACAGGGGACTTTTATTATGGGGGCTGTTCACTGAAAATCAGTATAATAGGAGTAAAAATAGCAGGGGTGTATAGGTCACCACAGTATAAGCTGACCACCAGTGATATTAGAGATCAAATTGACAAGTATCACAGACAGTTCAGTGGAAAGTTCCTATGAGT